CAGCGCCCACATCTAAGGACAGGGCAGCCAAGGATTTCAAAGAACGGCTTCTCCAACTAGATCCTTCGGAGATCGTCGTTTACACCGACGGCTCTATGATAGCTAAGCAGATGGGCCTTCCAGCGCACGCGGAGGACCCGGACGCGGAAGAAGAAAGACCAGAGGGCGAATGCGTAGGCTTTGGCTACGTAATCTTCCAAGGACAGACAGAAATTGGCCGCGGATGCGGTCAACTAGAATATGCAGAAGTCTTCGATGCGGAGGCGGAAGGGGCACGGCATGGTCTCAAGGCCGCGGTGGCGCTCTTCCCGGAGGCACAAGCCCGGCCACACATCACAGTATGCCTTGATAACACGTCCGTAATTAGAGGGCTCCGCGGAACCCCAGCTGCGTCGTCACAAGCGGCTTTCCTCGACTTCCGGGCCACCTGCAAAGGATATGGTCCTGATCTGGTCAGCGTCCGCTGGGTTCCCGGCCACAAGGGCATCACGGGCAATGGGATTGCTGACGAACTCGCTAAGGCGGGTGCTGAAGGAGGAGAGGTAGTCAATGAAGGCTTGGCTACTCTTGCGCATTCAAGACGGCTCGCTAAGAGAGAGGCGCGTACGGATTTCAAGGCGTGGTGGGCCGCGAACAAGCCAGAGTCGTATGCAGACTACCGGCTGGGGGTCTCTACCAAACCTAACGACGAACTAAAAGAGCTGGACAGACGCTCTTTACACCACCTCCTCGCGGCCAGGTCTGGCCACGGGGATTTCAAGGACTACCACGAGCGCTTCGAACACGAGGACGCCCTGCTATCGTGCTTCTGTGGAAGCTGGAAGAATCCCTTCCACCCCTTCTTCTGCAGGAAGGCACATGCGGTTTCCCCGGTCACAGGCGAAGCAGCTACGCGGGAGAACCTCTCCCTTGCTATCGGTATTTACTGGCAACAATTTGTTGCTAGAATCCAGACCTCGCACTTCTTTTCGTGGACTTGCACAAGGAAGGCTTGGCGCCGGACACTCTGGCAGAAGCACACTGACGACGGAGGCATCGCTGACAACTTCACCGGGTTCCTACGGGACGAAGGGGTAGAAATTGGCCAAGGCCATGAGATCGAGAGGGTTACGGTGGATTTGGACAGGCTAGTTTACCGCGTAAGGAGACGGGAGGAGGCTTTGCGGGAGGGGGAGAGCGAGAGCGATAGCGAGAGTGGAGAGGAGTGATTTCGCCTTTTCTTATGTCTCTTCCTATGTTATACGGGAACCGCCATAGACTGGCGGCTCGCCC